GTGTTTAGCATGTGTAAACGTTTTTCAATGGTCTTCCCTAAACACCTGAGTTTATTTTCCTTAAAGGGGAGAACCTTCAACACGAGGAGTTAATAACATGGAGCAGGAGGTGGAGGGGAAAAAATCAGGATTGTGCCTGTTTTATGTAGAGACAGAAGCACCAAAATATGAAGACCTTTAGGAGATCACCTATTTCTGTCTTTCTGATGGCAGTAGCTTTGCTAAAGCTAGATAAAGTAAAATTTGATACTTGGCAATTTCAAATTATTTTAGAAGGAACAAGAACATGTGGTATGAAGAGATCCTCAGTTTCTCTGCTGCATGTATCAATCTGCTCTCAGTGCTGCTGAGATGTACACTAGCCACGGTGGAAAGGTAGGAAGCCTTGGCAAGCAGTCAACAAAAGATAGAGTCCTGATGTAATTATGAATTATATGTCAGTGCTGCCACTGGAGATGAAATCCAACGAGATACAATCAGTTTCTAAATCCAGGGGGGTCTCTGAATGATGTCACAAAATGTACAGGGAAACACAGGATATATTTGGAGACAATTAATTTTATTTGTGTGTGTGTGTGTGTGTGTTTGGTTTCCCTCGCTCCCATGGTTCAGACTGGATTTGCTGCTGGGCTTCCCTGTGAGGGTGAGCCCCTCACATCTGGATAACAGCAGAGCAAAATAATGCACGCCCTGTCTCATCAACACACACTTCTAACTGGGGCTGTGAGCAGGGGGCACAAAGAAAAGGGTGCAGTGACCATCACAGTGGCACATGAGCACCCACAGGTGATGGCCACGTCCCCCTGAGCTCCTCACAGCCCCAGGCTGTGACACCAGCACTGGGCTGGGAACACAATTTGCCTCTCTCTGGGCTATTTGCTGTTGGGAGCAGATAATAAATCGTGAATTCTGGAGAGAGGGTCCAGATTTCTTTAGATTAAAGCTGCTAATTTTTTTTTTTTTTCCCCACGAGTCCTAAGTCCAGCCTTAATTGTATGGGAATGCACCACCCAATTCCTCAAAGAAGGTAAAGTCATTTCTTCACCTAAATTTGCATTTTCTTGTTGGCCCTGCTTTCTCCTGATACTCAAGATTTTTTTTTTAATCTTTGTAATTTGGGACTCTGTATGAAAATGGGGGCCATTCCTGGTTCCCCAGTGAACAAACACATATTAATATTTTCCATTTCTTTACATACTGGCCAATAAATATATTACTGGGATGCAACAATTCAACTACCATTAAATTTAGCAAAAATTAAGTATTTTTGGCCTTTCCTGCTTGTCCTTTCTGCTGCTTTAACAGAGACAGATTTTGGATGCAAGCTTAAAATTTGATTATTTTCTTGCCTGCTTCTCACTGTCTCATTGGACAAGGCACAATACTTTCACCATTATTTTAGTACCACTTTGCCCTCTTGCCTACAGCTTACCCCAACAAATAGATATGGCCTTAGCCTGAAATGGATTTTATTTTCTAGTAGGCCTAGAATCAGCAATAAATACCCATAGTCCAGGTAATTTTATACTAACTTACAGTTAGGAGCATAAGTATAATCTTTTCAGCTCAGTAATATGAATTTACAGAAATCTTTGGGTTGTTTTATCTTTCCCCCCCCCCCTCACTGGAACATCAAATTGGCTGGTGAAATGGTTCTGGCAGTGTAAGTCATTACAGGTCTGACGTTACAGTTGTTACACATTGCTGAATCTGTCAAATGAAAAGGGAGCACAAAGGGAATTTCCAAATGCAGCTGCTATTTCCCATTTGTTAAATCCTTTTATTACACCATATAAGTACACAGCTGGGAAATACTATAGAGTGGGAGTTAAAACAAAATATTTTGGCTTCCAGACATTCAGAATACACAAAGGACTCAGTGGAAAGCAATGCCTGATATCAAAAGGGAGTGAAAGTTTGAAAACATTTCTAGCCAGTGTGGTTTTTTTCTGATAATGAACAATGTAGTTTGAAGGTATCTTACATTACAGAAAGTGCTGTGCACCATAAATGTTGGGTAAAAACGCATTTTTTTCTCACTAAAATTGCCCTCCTACGGTATCTTTTCTAAACTTGAGATCTGTACAGCCCTTGTAGCAAATTATGATGCATACTGTGTGCTCTTTCAAATTCCAGTGAACTCCTTAGTAGTTTTAAGGACAGAAAAGATGCAGGATTGTGCCCTTAATTAGATACCAGATAAAAGAGAAATTTTTCCTCCCCATATGTCGACACAGCATTCTTTGAATTTACTATCTTTTAACCAGACAACACACATTATTGATGCATTTTAATGACAGCACCACTGTCTTTACTTTCAAAGTAAATGCTATGAACAGGTGCTTCTTCAAATCTGTTTCTAAAGGATCCGTCTGGGAAAGGTCAGAAGGTGCTTACCTTCTGGGAATTTGGGTTTATTAAGGAAAAAAAGTGGCCACAGCCACAGCCCCTATCTCAGAATTGCCCAATCCACCTTCTGGAATCTGTCTTTCTGGGAAGAAATGTCTATCCTCCCTCTAAGGAGTATGAGCATGTTTTCATCAGGGTAGTTGCAGGCCCCTCTAAATTCTTTTTAAGCAATATAAATGCCTGCTTGACTGAGATACTTCAGAGAAATTTTCTGCAATGAATTGAGGCTTAAATGTTTGCTCATAGAGAACATATTTAAGCGAGGGGGGAAAAAAAATCATTAAAAATCAAACCAGATACTTAAATGACAGTCCCTCAAGCAGAAAAAAAAAATTTCCCCACTTCACTGTTGTGATCTCACAAGCCATCTAAGTCACCTAACTGTAAATACACTTGCACCTTGCTCTGGACATTTTAGAGCTCTTAATTGCAACCAAAAAACATGTCTTAGAATTTCAGTCTTCACTGGTAGCCAAGCCTTGTAAATTATACCCAGCTCCAATCTGAGAAGGGAAAAAAAAAAAAATCCTTTTGGTTCAGCTGAGAGGTTCTGAAATAAGGCTGACATATATCCACCACCAGATTTAAGCCTAGGGACTCGTGGAAACTGCTAATGATTTTCAGGACATTCATCTACATATATAATGGAATATTTACTGGAAAAAGGAGATAGGAAAACCAGAGTGCTAAGTCCCTCAAGCAAAGTTTATGCACCTGTTCTGAAACACGATAGGCTGTGCACTGATTCGTGCCTGTCCAGAGGTACAGGGAGTGTTGACATGACAGGGCAGCCTCAGCAAAGGAAGCAGAGATTGCTCCAGAGCAATCCGAGCACAGCTGATCACAAGGGCCAACCACTTCAGCTCACTCCAGCTCCAAGGAACAGGCTGAACCAAAAAAAAAATAAATAAATAAATAAAAATTAAAAAAAAAGGCACGGAGGGACTGCTGGAATCCAGCAGTTCTTTTCTCTCTAGGACACGGAGTAATTTTGTCGATGCTATTGGTGTCCTAATATCAAAATTCCAAGAGTGCACCTGCCTCTCTGAATGAATGGAGAAGTAGCTGATGAATTCACAGATTAACTTTTTCCATCAACAAACTGGATCAGTTTCTAGTCTGCATGCAGCTTGTCCTCTTGATAGCACAGAAGTTAAAATTATTCTAATGTGCTTATTGCATAACTTGGGCAAAAGAGAGACTCTCTGTCCAAAATTCTGAATATAAACCATATGTACAACTTACAACCTACCTTTCCAAATTGCTAAGCTGTAATCTTTTTTTTAAAGTGATTTCACAGTGGAAATTTTGCCTTCTTCATGACAGTCACCCAAACACTTATGAATATTTTAGGTCTGACAGAAAGTTCTGCACTGGGTTAAATTGTGCATTACAGATTAGATAGCATTTTTGTTTGGTTTGATCTTTTGAATCAAGTGGATTTAAGGAAAAAAAAAAACAACACTATATTAACAAAATAAATCTTATTGTAGTGCTATTATTTAACTAACTCCAGGCATCATATTATGCACAAAGAGCTCTGGCATCTCTGTTGATTAATGCATTTTAATTATTATATCCAGTCAAATTTGAAATGAGTCCATTATTGTTAGTGGTGTTAAAAAAATTCTTCAGTTGTTCTTAACATTATTGAAATCTGTACCAGGGAGAGAAAAAAAAAAAGTTTCCTGAAAAAAAAATCTGCCCACAGATATTTAATAGAAATAGAGAAGAAAATTTTTGAAGGCAGAATATTCTTTTTAAGCTGTCTGAATTTATGGGTTTTGAAAGTCACATTCCAGAGAGTCTGGCATTATGATGTTCTAAATTTACAGAACACCTGGCTGCTCCACATACCTTAATTCTGTGTCTGAGGAACACACGCAAGGAAAATAAATTGACTGAGATGCTCTGCCCATCAGCCTGCTCATTTATTGCAGAGTTTTGGGGATTCAGAGACTGAGCTACAACCACTCAATAATTATATCTAGGCTACTGAAGAGAATAGGGATAATAATTCTGATCATTTCCAACATCACCTGTATACTAAGTGGTGATCTAGCTACCTATAAACACCTTTCCTCTCCACAAAAATAGTTGTGATTTCCTATAGGAACAGTAGGATGTTTGTGTCACCTAAAATGCCAGCTTCTTTATTGCTATGTAAAGATATAATATTCTAGATTTGGCCAGTCCTGTTCCTGAGAGACGAGTAAAAAAAAAAAAAAAATACATTAAAGTTTCTTCCTTCAGCACAACACTTTGCAGATGACAAACAGTTGTGAGCTACATCCTCCTGTCAGAAATTAATGCTTGAATATATGAGCTAGAAAGGTTATGACATAAATCAAGGTATGAATGAAAACGTGATAAATAGATGCATTTCCTTTCAGAAGGTGAACTCATCAAATGACCTCATTCAAACAGACCCGTACACTTCAGTAAATTATACAATTGTAATTTACAATTACACCACCCCATGTTGACCTACTGCCGACGCCTCAGCGTTTGAAAAGCTTTACACCTGAGCACGTCCTTCCCTTTACAACTCCAAATTTGGGAAAGCCCCTGCGAGGATGGTGAGAACTCACCATTCTGTGTTGGGCTGAGATGACTCCATCCCACTCGGGGTCCTGCTGGATGGTGGTGACCAGGGTGGGTAGCTCCTCGGAGTGAGGTTTGTTGTGCATGACGTTGTGTAGAGGCAGGTGAGAGGCTCCATGCTGATCACTGTTGCCCTCCTCCTTGTCTCGTGGTGCTAAGTCCTGGGTCATTGTTTCCTCTCCATCAGCTGCACATGCAAATGGAGAGGTAGCCTGCTTGGAAGACATTCTTCTAAAAAAAAAAAAAAAACAAAAACAAGAGAAGGAGACAAAAAGAAAACGTTGGTGCTCAGCGACCAAAAAAAATAATCAAGATTGAAATAGTTCTGTAAGCACATCGCACCTGCCCAGAACGGTGAAAAATGAATTCTGTGCAGTCAAAAGGAGAGCTCTAAAAAGCACAAGGCTTGGGGATCTGGATCCAAAACACTGAGGAAAAGTATTCCTTGATGCCAAGACAAGGTCAGGGTTAAGCTATATGACATCATTCTACTCATTTAGACTTGTCAAACAATATAATTTTCTCCAGCCATAAGAATTTTATTCACACTTACATGCTGATTTTGTATGAGTTCAATTCTTTAAACTCTTACTCCTGTGAGCAACCTGAAGCTTACAAGCAAACTCTTAGAGAGAGCTCATCATGCTTACCTGACCTCATTCCTTACAAGCAGAAAATGCTTTTTACATATATGAGAAATAAATTTTAAATCCATTTCAAATTGCTAAACGAGTCCTTTTGCTGTTTGTTTAAAGCTGTACTGCTTTTAAACTGTTTAAAATTTTGCCCGGTTTTACCTTTCAGAAAGTGTTTTGAGGAGCTCATGTGAAAAGTGTTCTAAATGTAAAAGGTTTATGAAATGGATGGATAATACCTTAGAAACATTTTACAGTTCAAACTAAAAAACCTAAAAAAATCATGTCTCCTTTCATATTAGGCATGGATATAGCTCAACAAAATACTTTAAATTACTTAAAAGTGCAATGAATAAATGCATTGATTTATGTTAAATGCCTTTTCCTAATAATGGCCTCTTACTACCATCTCATATGCAAACACAGCTTTCACCACAGTTTCTGCACTTAGATGAAAATATTACTGACTTCAACTCAAAATCTGAAAACACTGTCATTTAAAATTTCTAGTAAGATTAACTGCAACTGTTAAAACAATCGTTAATAAACCTGAAAAGGGACAGCTAAAATATATTAGTTATTTTCCCAGGTCTTAGTAACTTTAGAATATCCTTGACACCGAAATTGCTGAGAAACTAAGGAATAAGATCTTCACCTTAATTGCTTTTTAACAATAATTGATTTCATACCATTTCTTTAAAAATGCACAAATCAGTTAACATAGGAAACCACATGAGCATTTTTCAAATTAGCAAATCATTAACTTGCTAGTACTGTTTCTACAGACAAATAAATACTGATTAAAGGGTCTGGAAATCTGAGACTAACAGTTAAATTTACAAATCTGTCACATGCTTTCATGAATATTACAGTGAAGGAAATATCAAGTGCAAAGAAAAATAATTAAGTTAATTCCAATTTAAACAGTAGTTTTTATGTAGCAGCCTGTGTTTCACATAGGATTTAACAGCTAATGCTAAATTTCTCACAATTAATGAGGGAGTTCAGATTTAGTATCCTACAGTGAAAAAAAAAATTAATATAGGATCAACTAATCTAATTATGTACAGTTCAATATGAAAGTATTACAAGCTTTGAAGTGCTCTGAAACATATTAAAACACTGATACCTATTTAGAATAACTATTCTGTAAATAGAGATAATCCTGCCTCCTAAACTCGATACTGGTGGGGGAATAAAGGTTCGTGTTTTCTTTAGGGAAGCCTAATTGTAAGTGGGAGTCTAAGATGAGTGCTGCCAATAAGCAGAAGTGAGGAATTTAAACCGTGCATTGCATTCTTCCTGTGCTGAAGAATTTGTGTGGATGCTACAGAGAACATGCCAAGAGTTCAGCAATCGGCATCATCGTGTGCACTTCAAAAGGTTCTGGCTCATAATTGCTATGATCCAAGATAAAATAAAAGGGTTGCTTTCCCTTTCCTCATTAAAGTAGTCACGTTAATGCAATCGCTCACATGAAAATATAAGTCGTGCTTTGCGTGATGTGAAAACCCGACTCGAGAACTGAAAGTCACAATAAAGGTTTTTCCTTTCTTTCACCTTCTCAACTGATCTCATTCCTGTTTCATGCTGAACGAGCTTCTGTGTAAAGCTAGAGCTATGGCTGTTTCTTCACCATAAATTAATCATGACACAAAACTAGAAATGAAAATGTCTCTTAAGAATAATTTCAACTACAAACTGCACCAATGAATAATACTGCACAATCCTAATTAAACACAACTCTGCAGCTGCAAAAATAGGCTGAATCTGTCCAAAGCTACGAGTTGGTTTTAAAGGCTGGTTTGTTAGGGACTGTTTTCTTAAGGAAGGCTGGGCCCTCAGTCTTAATCAGCCAATAAATTATTTCCTGCAATTACATTAAATAGAAAATTATCTTCAAATTGGGAATGTTAATTGAAAATCAAAATTCAGACTGAAGTTTAGAAATTACATGCTGAATATAATTAGTCTAGAAAGGCTTCACCTCTATTTCATAAACAGGCTTTTGGTGTTTCCTCAAGTGACCATTCAGCAAAGCTATCTACTGGTAATGCACTGCAGGGGAAACGTTTTTTCCTTGACGTGTACACTAATATACTTTCCTCTTATTCATGATGTTTTAAACACAATTCAATAAAAATGTCCATTCAAGTGCCGTTAAGTTGATTATATAGAGAAAAGGGAGTTCATTAACACTAAAAATAAAATTATAAAAAGTCCCACTGACTGATAATCATGCCCAGCAACTTTTTTTGTACTGGAGTAAGAGAACAGACCAAGGGTAGGGTTCAAGCCCTTCCTAACTCCACCTCCAACCTTTCCCCACTGCTGCATTATGGACAGACACCTTCCATGCTGCACTTTGCTCAGTCACCTATAGCCCTGGAGCCCTGGGAGGGAGGACAGGCTCAGACAGGCATCCCAGGCACTTGCTCTTCTCCTGGCATGATTTTTTAGGGGTGTGTTTCACCTCTATTTTCTACAGAGCTTTGTTAAAACGACTGGATTTAACGGTAACTCTTTGGTTGTTGGGTTTAAAACGTTGGGTTTAAAGGGACAGATGTGTAGGGGCCTGATAGATTAATCCCTCCACATTCTTTTCCCAGCACAGCCATTCACTCAATGAACACACTTCACGTGTACATGGCTTTCTGAGGGTGTCCAGCTATGCCTGGGTTTGCAATCAGGAAAGCAGAGCAAATGTAAACTCTGCAGATGGGTGTTATCCTGCAATTTGGGAGAATTCTGAGCACATGATTCCATCAGGTCAAAAGGCAGAGTTCAGTCAGTAACTCCAAGGTCTCATTCAATTCCAGTGGAGAAGACTCTGGCCCAGTTGAGTAGTTTATGTTTATGATGAAATTAAGCCGTAGAGCAGCGTGTTGTGTTAAAATATTTCAATGTTAAAATATGAGCATGAATAGCAGTCAAATTTTAAGCCATAACAACTTCCCAATTTTATGTTTAAAATATTCAAAATGCATTTGCTGAAATCCCTGCTGAGAGGGGGGGGAAAAAATCAATATTCGTAATAAATAAGGCTTGTAAAAGCTATCAGAAATTTACTAATATCCATTATAATTTTTTTTTCTGCTATTACCAATTAAACTTACTGGAATGATTTTTTTTAAAAAAAAAGAAAAAAAAAGTTTCTGATAAAAAAAAAAAAAAAATCTCCCTAGTTATAACCCCTGCAAACAGGGGTTTATAATGGAAGTGCTGACACAACCCTAACTACAGCAGCGCAAATGGTGCCGCTATAATACACAAAATCAAGTTCTATTATTCTAAACTATCCTCGCTCGGGGGGTTTTCTTTACTGTGCTCCCAGACAAACTGCTGAAGCATGAAAAATTTAAATGCAATCAAGTGGGTCCAATTCTACTTTACTAGAACAAGTGTCTACAGTGGTACAATCTTAAAAGAAGATGCAACAGATTTGTTTGGTGCTTTTCTTTCTTTTTTCTTTTTTAGCTGTTTATTTATAATACTGTGCAGTGGAGATAAAATAAGAGAGGAAATTACACTCACATTATATCAGTATATTGATTACACAGCACACAATCAGAAAGAAAACTACATTGTGAAATTGTTGCTTTGGTTAAATTGACACATTAGCTGAACACAGCAATCACTAAAGGTGGAAAATATATCTAATGGGCATGAGAAAAGGTTGAAAAAGGCCCTAATTAACTGAAGTCCTATCACCTACTCAGGTTCGAGAATTTAAAAAAAAAATCTTGATCCACATTTTCCAACACTAGAATAAATCCTACCTCATTTTGAACTCGAGACGTAAACAAAACGTGATCATTTATAGGAAGGTTAGTAAAACTGAGGGATTGGACCTCAACTTCAGTCAGCCTCAATAGCAAAGTAGTAAAGCTAAAATTGAACTGCTAAAGGTTTTTTTACCTACAAGAAGCTAAACACAGTCCCAAAACAGCTTCGTTTGCTATAGATATGACCTGATTTTTTATGTTAAACCAGAGAAGAAATTCTCTCTGCCCTAAAGAAGACTGCCAGTCAGATTCACAAAACACTGCTTTTCCTTTTATCCTACATCTAGTGTTACACCTTTCTAAATGCAAATATTAATACTTTTTTTTGTCTAAGGTTTTTCCATCATCTCAAATTCTTCAAAAAATTCATACCCTCTTTTGCGAAACAATTAGCTGATAGGTCTGACATGAAAGGTTTCCAAAGCCTGAAAAATATTCCCACTTTGTTGCTCAAATGATTAAACGTTGCAGTAGAAATTAAGGCAAGACCTGGAGTTTCAGCTGCCAGGCATTTCAGAATGAAGCCACGAAGCATAACAACAGATAACAACAATACCACTGTTCCAAAAACACATAAACTGAGCAATAACAAGGAGATATATGACAAAGCAGACTTGGAGTTGGCCAGGGACTCTCACTTCTGCTCTGCTCCACCCTCACAAAGCATTCATAAACCTAAAGGCATGTCTACACTGCAGCCACATAAATGACTGCTTTGTAATGCTCAGATATCCAAACTAATTTTAAACAAGCTTGCTTCTGATAGCTCTCCAACTGCAGTAGCATGGTGCTCAGATGGGCTAATTCATCC